GTCTTTCAGTTTCACTTAGATGGAAGTACTTTAAGTTCATGGAACGGTACCGAAAGGGCGTCATCTCGGAAATATATAAAAGAATACCAAAAAGGGCCTCTACTCACCCTCTTTCTGAATAGCAAAGGACGACGACATCAAAAAGACATGTTTGATTTATTGTTTTTTTGTTGTAAAGAAAAGTGTTTGTTTACTAGAAAGGCTCAGAATTTAGTCAAAAAACATGCACATTTGTAAGTAGGCTTTCGAGAGCAGCATTAAAGCATGTATATGAGAAGTGTTCGTTTAAGGTGATGATTTACTAACAGTCTTAAAACCCTACTTACAAAGAAAAAATAAGTAATGTAGTCGGTTATTATAGTAACTATAATTTTGCCTCATCAACAATACTATCATATAACGTAATTTAGAAAAATGATTGACCTTCCTTGGAATTCTCATCTCCTCTGTGACCAAAGGGTACTCGTGGCAATGTGACTTAGTGGTTAATTTATCGATAGTATATGCTGCACTGTCATGGTTCGAGTCCCGCTGGGGGTGCTGATGAGAACTAGGCGAGGGCGAACTGCAGATCTCTTGGGAAAACAGGGATATGCGAAGTTTAGTGAAAACGTAAGGTCTACTCATACCATTGTGAGAAAATTCAACTACCAGTCCTTTATTACCTTGAAAGGAATAGGGTGAACACGACTTATATAAAAGGCATGTACGCCTCTTTTATCATAGTTGAAAAAAAGGAAGACTTAATTTTGTACAAAAAATGTGTTCATTTCTGACGAGAATATGACCGAGCATTGGCATTTCTGAATTAGGCCTTATACGACTTGATCCGATGAAGGGCTTGGATATTTAGTGAACCTCACCTTGACCGCCGGTGTAGAAGTAAGAAAATGCAAATTTATATTTTTTACTTTATCGTGGTAACGAAAGAGCAATTATGGTATTGCTTCACTGGACTTTTATGATTCTTTCTCTTTTAATTATGAGGTTTGCTAATGGTTCCAACATGTAATTGGGTTAAATTAGAGATCCATGCTATCCTTAATGAGCTATTCTCATAATAGATGTGATATGAGTGAACGTTGCCTTGCTACTGGTTTGAACCTCATAATACAGGCGGCTTAAGAACTGCTACCCTCTTGGAAAATAACAAATTTTTTTGTCTTAACACAATAAGATAAAAAAAGTTCAGAATATTATTTAATGCCAGTCTTAATGGCGCAAGGCAGTAGACGCTGTAACTTTGTTTATAAAATAGTTTATATACATTCAGGCAATAACTCACCTCAAATGCATTTGGCCCTTTTCCCTGCCTCAGAGGTAATCTAACTCGATTTATCACTCACATTTCCAAGCATCGGCTTAGTGCTCAAACGAATAGAACTCTGCAATGAGATCGGTAGAACTGGTTTATTTAATATTGTAATTATTTAATATTATGTAATAATCACTTTAAAATTATAGTATTATTAATATTCCAATAGGTAGCTGATTTAATTAATGGATATGCGTTATTTACGCCCTAATTATTATCTTCAGGGAATAAGCTACAGACAAAGGCAAGAGCATTTCTTTGTGCGGCGAGACCTTATGTTTAAATGGGAAACCTGTTATAAATTATTGGCAAATTTGACGGATGATTTTATCAACTTAATTGAGAAATTGTGTATTATTTTGTCGTCCGAGACCATAGCAATACATCATATTTCCTGATTAACTAAAAGCACAAAGCATGTCCATAATGAGGAAGGGTTATTTGGCATTCTGTCAATGTGAGATGAAAGCATTTTCTCCTCTCTTTCAAGGAAAACGAAATGGGGTGAGTTCAGTTCCTATGCCTGCTAAGGTCGTCAAAATGAACAAGATAGCTCTCTTAAAACACGGATTAATAGCTGTTAATGCTTCTTCGAACAGTAGCAGGGGATTAAAGCAGCTTTTCAATCATAAAGTTCAATTCTCCATCCACCACATCCTTCAGCATAAACACCTTTGGTGGTGCCAATACGGCTTAAAGTCTCAGATGAAGTTTATTTAAGGCTTCATAACCAAAGAAGACTTCATTAGCGCTTTGCAGAAGTTTCATCAAAGCATCAGCTGTTAGCCCTAAAGATTCCGCACTGCCGAACTAATTTTAATAGTAACTATACATTTGTGTACATATTTCTACCTGAACGATTATGTGTAGGACGAATAAATAACTAAAGCATTCACAGAATCTTGAATTGAGCTGAGCTCAAGAATTTTTCCCTTTATAATTCCGTTTGGAAATAAATAGTAGATAACGTGCGCTAAAACAGCGTCTATGTGGCAATAATGTATACAGTAAAGACTCGATTTGTTAGGAGCATGTGGGCCTGCAAGTATTTGTCTCTTCGTCTCGTATATCAAATGTGTTCACTCTGTTTCACTTAACGCGATAAAGTAATTGAATTTTCCCACACTCATATAGATATAACTGACTATTCCATTTAATTTCACATAGCCTTGCTTTCCTTTTCTCCTACTTATGTGGCAACTGTCCTGGATTATGATACGAAGACCTGATGGCACAACTAACCTCAGATTGTATAGTGCAACTGGGTTTTCTGCTATGTAGTTCCAAGATAATGAATATTAACATAAAATAAAACGTGGCTTATATAATAATACAATTTAGAAAAGAGACAGAAATCTCAGGCGTAAGCATTTAGGACGTTGGCATTAAAATTTACTGGTAGCGGGGAGGATTTTCTCGAATAAGTCGAAAGCAATTGACGAAAATTCTTAAAATATCCTCTTTGTTACATTTATTCCTCCCTGTAGAATAGACAGCTCTACGTTCGATTCATTTTAATTTATAAAACCCCGATTACAGACAGATGACATTTTCAGGCTATGATAAACCACTCACTTCTTTGCTTTAAAGGTAATTCAGAAATTTATGCACATGTCCTGTTAGAAAACTTCATTTTTGCATGAAACTGTAGGGAAAATGAGCTGAGTTATCCAAGAGACAATGAAGAGCAGGATCCAGTTTGCACTGAAATACACTGCCACATATATTCGAAGAAGCTATTATTTTCCAAATATAAATAAAGTTTCAATCCAGTTTATTACTCTCACTGACGCCAAAACTGTGACCGCAGGTCTGAAACAAACATGCCATATTGTGCTAGTTATAAAATAAGAACTTAATCACCTTAGCTCGCTAAGATTGATCTAATGCCTAATAATTGAGTTTTTCCTACAAGGATATGGTTAGGCCTTTTGAGACAATTGGCTTTCACTTAACCTTGCCTCTTTATATATTTATACATCGTCAAAGGGGGGACTGTAGCCTGGATTTCGCCTGCTTCATTACCAT